CCCCCCCCCCCCCCCCCGCCACTGCAACTCCCACATGGGGTTTTACCCCGATATTTCTCCTTTCAGCTGTTGGGCGAAGGGGCCCTGGCTGCAGCGGGGATGCTGGCTGGGGGTGTGCATGAGGGGTTTGCAGAGGGGATGGCTCCGGCTCAGCCCCTCGGCCCCAAACCACCTGGGCAGCCTGTGGTGCTCCTGGAGGGGAAGAGCAAGATGGGAGCGGGCAGGAGCAAGGAGCCCCGGAGCGCTAACGCGAGAGGTTCTGTCACATAAGGGGCTGCGATATTTATCCCAATTAAATCGAGCGTCAGGTTGCAAGCGATGAAACCAGAAAGGCAACAGAGCAATTCAGACCAAAACCAATGCAGCAGAGCATGGTGCGGAGCCATGCTGCCTGGTCCCCTGCAGAAACGCAGGGAGCCCCGCGCAGAGCCCCCCACGACACCCCCGGCCGGGGCACAGGCATGGGTGCTGGGGTGCCGCAGATACCCCGGGGGGGTGAGTAAACGCAGCCGCCTGCGGAGGAGGAGGCTGCAGCAAAGGGCAGGGGAAGGCACCGGGCTCTGCACCAGAGTCTCTGCGGGGCGGCTGTGGCTGGGAAGATGCTGCCCTCCCCACCACGGACACGGCAAGGGGGCCCTGATGGGGGCAGCCGGGTCCTGCCCTGCTCTTGAGCCAAGACCCCTCTCTTTCAGCAGCAAGGGGCTCGGGAAACACAAGGCGAGGCTATTCTGTAAGAGAGGAAGCATTGCTGAAACCCTTCTCAGGAATCCCAGTGATGCATCCCGACAGGAACAAATGAGTTCGTCTTTTCGTCTCAGCCACACTTGGGGCTGGAGCAAGCACTCGCGTGTGGCTCGGTAGCCGTGCCAGCGAGCAAAGCGGCCCCGCTGAGGCAGAGCGATGGCCGGCGATGGGAACATGGCAGCGGGAGATGAGCTGACCCCTGCGCTCCTGCAGCCCCTGCCTGGCGCTGGCCTGCGGGCAGCCGTTCCCAGCCCCTGCCCAGCAGCGACGGGACGTGGAGCGACACGATCGGATGCTGCTTTTGCCCTGCCTCTGGCGAGATTCTGGGTTGGGGTTTAGTCTCCGGTGGTGGCCCTAAAAAGGCTCCAAGCCCCCATGCGACAGGCAGTAATTGAATCAACCAGTGCACGGCCCCACACCGCCAGATCTTCCCCAGCTCCCATCCCACCTAACTGCCCCCCGCCACAGCCGAGCCTTTCCAGAGTCCTCCTCTGCTTTGGGCTTCAATGACATTTCCAGCCCCTGATTCTGTTACTAAATCTAGGACCTTTGAAACCTAATCTGAGTATTTCAAACTGTGCTTGCATGGGCACCTTTGGCAACTTTGGTGAAATTGTCCTTAGGAGATGAGGCTGAATATAATAATTGCTAAGGCAGCTCCTTTCGTGCTGGCTGACTGAGCACACACTGGCTGATCTCTCCCTTCCACTGCCATCTCAGATAACCAAGATAAGCCCAGATCATTCCCAGATCTCCTGACTTAGCAAAGCTGGTAAGAGGGAGAAGTCCTTGCAGACTTTGTGGTGGTGGAGGGTTTACTCTGGGCTGTGCCTTAGGCTGGACTCCTCAGCCAGAAAGGGCTAAGGCAGGGGTTAGTTATTGCTGTGAAATTAAGAAAGCAAAATTCAACAGATTCAGAGGATGAAATCCTGGCTTCTCCCTAGTTCACGGGGAAGGAATGGGTTTGGCGGGGCTCAGATCTCTCCCAAAAAGGGTTGTACAGGCAGTCCAGGGAAATACTACAGCAGGTGAATGGGGTTGGGCAGCTGAGAATGAGCAGGAGTGGGCAAGGAGGACAGGGAAGCAGAAACTCCTGAGCTGGCTGTAAATCCTCCACTGTTACAGCTGCACTTCTCAAGGCAAATAGAGAAGTAATTAAGCTATCAGAGATACAGTCTACCAGCAAACCAGACTAAACAATGGGGCTAAATTGCAGGTTTATTTGAAATCGCTCCTGCCATTTGCAGGTCATTTCCTCTGATTTCATTGCTCTGCACTGATTTCAGCTGGTCAGCGCTGCTCGGGGCTATAAACTGCTGGCTGCCTCCCGGAAACCTCTGCTGGGGTCTGGGGGAGGCTGGGAGAGCAAGGGGTTTGCTCTGGATGGGGGAAAGACAGTCCTTGGTGTGTGAGGGGGGGAGGGTGATGCAGGTGTCAGGCTGCTGGGCTCCCATAAAGCTGCTGATACCACTTATCTGGGATGGGTCAGGTGCCCCAGAGCCGTAAAGCAGTACAAAGCCCTTGGAGCTGAGCCAGGCTGCGCTGGTGCCTGTCCTTTGCCAGCGATCTGTGTTGTCTCATTAGGCTGCATTACACTTGGCAATATCATGATAGATAGGAAAACCGTCTTCCTCCTGAGCGCTGCTAGACCTGCAGGGCCAAGTGTGTCTCTGGTGTAACGCCAGTGCCTGCAGTAGGAAAGGAGAATTGGGCTTTACAAGGCTTTCCTTCCTCCCAGCCAGGCCCTCGCTCAGCAGCAGCTCCTCGCTGCTTTCCCTCACGACTCAGAAAAGGGAGACAAACGTTGCTGGAGCTGAGATGGGTTGGGGATGCCCTCAGAGCCCCTCCTGCAGCAGGGACGTGCCAGGAATTCCCCTCCAGAGGTAAGCAGGGCTGGCGTCTTGGACCCGGTGGTGCACTGGGGGCTTCCTCTCCTCTTCCCTGGGGGTTAAGTTCATCCCACCCCCCAGGAGAGGTTTGTCTGAGCACCAGCACAGCTTGGGTGCCCAGGGTGGAGCCGTGCTGTGCCTGCAGCAGATCGGGGCCTCCAGCAGATCGGGGCCTCCGGGGTCTGTGTGACCCAGCAGGCAGCTCGGGTCGGGGCAGTACCCCTGCTCTCTGTGGGTGCTGGGTGGGAGAAGGCTGAGCATGCACTTGAGACATGTTAGCATGAGGTCTTCATCCTCAAGGGGCTGATACAGCACTGGGACAGCCATGGGAAGGCTTTTTGCCAAGTTCTGGGTATATTTAAGAGGACAGAGTTGCCCTGGCTTCATTGAAGTCACCCTGAGGTTTGCTGCTCTCGTTTTCCTGGCTCTGCCTGGTGTGTACACTATGTCAAACCATGATGCTGGCCTCACCACTCAGAAATTATCTGATCCAGACACTGTGGCTCATGATATCGCTTATTTTTATGCTGTTGATAGTCTTCCAGCACTTGAGACTGATGGGTGGTCTGGCTGCAGGGTGGTCTGGGTCAGGTCTGGGTTTAGCTTCTTGGCCTCGGGCAAGCCTGAAACCCCCCTGCTCCTCTGGGTTGTTTTTTGTCTTTTCTGGCTGTTGTTGCCAAGACTGATCATATGACCCGGCAGAACGGTCTCTGCTGTTAGAGGAAATAATGGGCAGATATAATTAGCAACGTCAGGCCCGGGCAGTCAAACAGCAATCGGATGGGTGCAGATGGCTCTTGGAAACACGGTATGTTCCTCTGGCTTGGGGCCGTCTGCTGATCTGGAAAGAGGGAACCAGAGAGTCTCTCTTGAATAAACTTCTCAGTAAAGATTAATTTCTTTCCAGTCTGATCAACAACACCAGATTGCTCTAAAGGGAGTTGTAAATAAAAGGATCTCAATGAGAGATCGACTGTCACCTCCAGGTTTAGGCACAGGTTCCTCCTGTCTCTAAATACAATTTGTTTTTCACTCCAAGCAGGCTCTGTAGATGCAGTGGGTTTCCAAAGGGGAGTTGCCAGGGTGGCCAGCCCCAGGTTAGCACCAGTTTTGTAAAGAAGCTGAAGTGGTGTGGCTAGCACAGGCCGCTGCCCCTCCCCGGGCTGACGCACTGCTGACCCTGGTGACCACGCAGGTCTGGGCTTCGCCACTGCCCATGGGTGCCCAACGGCCATCTGGGCTGACGGCTGGAGGGGTGTCAGTCGGAGCAGCCCCGGTGCAGGCGTGGGGCTCCCCGAGGTGAGTGCTGATGAACCGGGTGCGAAGCACAGCTCGAGCAGCGCAGCAGACCTGGCTTCGTGCTCTCAGCTTGGCGATTGATCGGAGCTGGCAGCGAGAAACCTCTCTGCCCAGGGCTGCCTTCCAGCCTGCCTGCCCGTGCCCGGTGGACGCTTCCCGCAGCCGAGGAGGGCGGGC